TATATATATATATATATAATTTAATCATCTTTTGCTTCTGCCATTACATCTGTTAGCTCACCACTTTCCCTTAAGATGGAGAATGTGATGAAAAACAGTGAGACACCAGGAACAGATATACTGGAACTAAACAATTAATTTGAAAAATAACAGAGCTTTCTTCCTTTCATACTTTTACTATTTACACTGGGGACCACATAGGCCTTTTATGACACAAGTGCAGACACAGACAAGTGCATCATATAGTCTGCAAACTGATGATGTTCTGTCTTTCTTGATTTGTAGTCCTTATTTTTATAAAACCACTGTGCAAGCAGTTAGAAAGCACAAAGGAAAAGATTTTTAAATGCTACTTGTGTCGTCTGCTTTTGTATTTTGCAGCTGACACCAGCCTTGGAACAGATGATGTTTATGATGACAAAGGGTGCCAGTGTGATGTGTCAGTAGAAGATCTCACCCCTGCTCTTAAAACTGTCATCAGAGCAATCAGGTGAGTAAAAAATACTGAATTAATAAATATTTGAGATTTCTTTAATTAAGATACTAGATAACTGCATGTCAGTTAATAAAATGGTAGTTAGCATTAGTCACATAACAAATATAGCCATGTAATGAGTTAAACTAGTATCATTTATTTATGCTTCCTTTTCATTGGTATCTTATTTGTAAGTCTAAGTGTTTTATCTGTTCTGTTAGCAGCTTTTCAGTGTTTAAAAAAATTACATTATTTGAATCAGAAAATGGAGTAATGAATGCTGGTTTCCACTATACTTTCTGTAATCCACTTTACTGTAATCTAGAAAGATGATGCTTTCCTGCAGAGAGTTTTGCCTGAGTTCTCTCAGCACTCTGGGAAGAAAGAACTCAAGCTCTTTATCAAATATTTTCACACAGTGATAACCTACAGACCACTTGTATTTTCCTCCCCTTTTTCCACTGATTGCCTATGAAGACAAATAGCAAATAAGGCTGTTTCTAATGCTTTTCTGCTAGCACAAACAGCTTGACAGATCATTTGTAGATGTCCATTCCAACCATTTTTCCAACCTGCTGAGAAATTACCTCACAGGACATGTCAGATACCAGGTGTGTGTCCACAGCCACTACAACTGGCAACTCAAATATCACCACCGAAAACCATCTTTGCCAGCAATATTTCCGCAGGAGACAGAAATCATTCTACAGAGTGGACACCCACCTACAAAGCAGACCTATTCCCTCAAATGGAAAATGCTCAAATTAGGAACAATCAGCATAATTTGTTGGCTCTGGTGGCAAAGATCCTTGTCTGTGGTGTTGCATATTAAACAGACTGGTTGACTCTTGGCTCCAAGAGCACCTCAATACTGTACTGGCAAGTGATGCCAGTGGGCATCTCATTCTTAATACTGTCCAAATTCCTTAATATCAACTTGACATTTTAATATTAAATTCATGGAGCTTGTACTCAAAGACACTACTGGATTGTTCAACCTGCTTCTTTCTTTTTATTGGTTCTCTTGGTAATTATCAGGTCAAATGGAAAGTGAACAAATGCGAAGGACCTAGTTGGCAAACTTTCTGCATGGTGCCATGCACATAAATACTGTAATAAGAAGAGCAAAGATGTTGCAGTTTGATTGTTTCAGACATGCACGATTTAACTGAGATGAGTCAACTACCTAGATTACTTCCAAATATTTTTCTGTGCACTTGGCTTTCCAAAACCCAACTCATTTTACCACTGAGGCTGAGAATAACAATTCTGCATCTCCACTTGCTATCAATTAGCCACTACTCTCTCCCTGAAAATGCTGGTGTTTCATTAGTTTGCAAGCAGCACGTACATCTTGCTTTGGAAACATAGCTTTGTTTGAGATCTGTAAGGCCATAACATGCAATGATCTTCAGAGTTTTGCTAAATGCTATACCTTAATCTCTCAAAATCAAGAGACTGATAATTCAGTTCATCAGGTAGGCGATACTCCTCTTTCTGATTATTCAGAGTATCTGTTACTTGACTACACTGGAATCTATGCAAACATCTGAAGAAGGATCTGAGACACTTTATAGTAACTGTAGAATTTCAAGATGATAACATCTGCCTATATGGAAACTTCTGCTTCATTTTGAAGTTCGTTTTAGCAACAGCTTTGAATTGCAAAGGCAGTGGGGGAGGGAGGAGGCTGCTTTTCTTTTCTTGCTGGTATACAGGAGCAGATGAAGGCAGAAGGTACTTGCACAGCTTCATGACACACTGTTTAAAAGACCCCAAATGTAAGCACATACAGTTGAATCTATTCTGGCTGCATCACCTTGAAAAACCGTAATAAAGGAAATTAACTATTTTTGTTCTGCTTAAAGCTGGGTACAAATTGTTTTACAATTATACAAATGGTCCTTTTCTTTGGGGGAAAAAATGAAATTAGCAAAATTAATTCATGCCTGTTGATTTACAGTGGTAGGGTTTCTCAGTTTTAGAACAAGAAGGAACTGGGTTTTTTTCTCTTAAAGAAGCCTAGAATTTGCTGATTACTCTCAGGCTGGACAACCTTGAAATAGCAAAAGACAAATCCTGGTTTATTTCGAATCTTTCATTTTGGTAACTTTAAAGTGCAATGCTTCAGTTTTGACCTTACTTTAATATTTCCCAGGACTACTTTATTCTTCAAAACAACTTTTTGATTTTAAACAAATAAACTTGCAAACTTTTTGAAATGGTCAACACAGGAGATGAAGAAAATAGCCCTTCCCTGAAAAAAGTTCTTCACATATTGGCCGTTTACAAAAATAAGAATCCCAACCAGTCCTGCT